ATGGCGCTTGAACTCAGGGCCTGGGCACTGTCCCTGTGCTTCATTTGCTCCAGGCTAGCACTCTACTACTTGGGTCACAGCACTACTTCAGGCTTTTTCTGTTTATGTGGTACTGAAGACTCGAACCCAGGGCTTTATACATGCTAGGCCAGCACTCTGCCACTAAGCCATGTTCTCAGCTCAGAAATTATCTTTTCTGAATGTCTGTGGGTACCACTTCTACAAGAGAACACTGATGTAGGTTTGTACACAGCCAGATGTCCACATATTAACTCCTGACTGACCCAACATGACATTTTCAAATTTCTCCTAGAGTCCATGGAATGCCACACAAATAATTAGAATATTGCCCTTGTCTGGGTATGGAATCTTTTTACCCAAGAAAGAATGTCCTCTTTCCCAACCGAAATGCACACACACACCACCACCATCACCACCTACAACAACAACAATGTACAACCTCTGCTTTCCTTGGACTATAGTTTTGGTCAGCCATGTTTGCCTATCAAACCTGTCACAAATCCTCCTGAGTTTATTATATATCTTGCCTTCCACAAGTTAATGTATCATCTTTATATACAAGTATCCCATCTTTCTTTAGTTGGTTACTTAAAATACTCAAGGAAGTCTTTATATCTAACATGCCCCTATCAGTATGTAAGTGATGGTACATTATTGTCCAATTGCATAACCCACTACTTTATAAAATACTATATACTGTTTCCCATTGGCAGTCTCAAATGAGCATGTTAGTTACACTGCTCATGAAAACATTCTCTTCATTTTACTCCCCTTTTAAAGAATTTGAGGGAAATATTCCCTCCACTTTCCTTTTCTTTCTTTCTTTTTTTTTTGTTGGTCGTGGGGCTTGAACTCTGGGCCTGGGCACTGTCCCTCAGCTCTTCAGCTCAAGGCTAGCACTCTACACTTGAGCCACAATTGCCATTTCCTATTTTCTGGTGGTTTATTGGAGATAAGAGTCTCATGGTCTTTCCTGCCCCCACTGGCTTTGAACCTTGATCCTCACATCTCAGCCTCCTGAGTAGCTAGGATTACAAGCATGAATCACCAGTACAAGGCTTCCACTTTCATAGTTAAAATATTTACATAGTCATTCTGGAACAGATTAGTTTTCATGTATATGTAGTTTTCATTTATATGTTAAACAGTAGCCTACACTTACTTGCCTGCACCACTAGGTGGTGCACACATATGTTAATGAATTTGTAGGTTAAATGGGTTTGTTTCCAGATTTGGGTGGTTCAGGAGGTACTAGAGGAGTCTAGAAGAAATGGTGATCCAGTGCAGAAGGGAAAGTCCCCCAGAGGAGATGGATAGACTCATTGTTCACTACTAGCTGCAGAAATAATGGGGGAAGGGAGGCATAAAGACAAGAAAACCCAAGGATTTGACAGAGTAAAAGTATGAAGAAGGGAAGAACATGTTTACTTTTCATGCTGATTAATTCCAACTGACCAGCGTCACTGAAGAGGGAATAATAAAATAATCATTTGAACTAAATGACATCAAACAGGATTTTGTTCTGGGCACAGCCCTGTCCTCTAGTAAGGACCTAATAAGAGAGAGAAATGAGCAAATAAGACTAAGCACATGGTACAAAAGATAAATTTTAACAAGATACGTTGGAAGAACAAAGTGAAAAAGAAAGGAGCAAAAGAAAAGAAGCAGAGGATTAGGTTTAGGGGTGGGTATAATGAGATGATTTAATGGTAGTCTTGAAAAGTGAAGGGGAGGGTCTCCAGGAATATTATAAGAGTGTTGACAAAGAGAACAACATAAGCAAAGACATGGAGGTTTGAAAGGCTGCTGTAGGTTTGAGCATTGAGCTCAGTAAATCCTTACTAAGGGTTATCCCTCTGCTGTGAACTGATATGACTAAGTAGTTCTAGGGCCTTCACTTCTAATATAATGAAGAAGATTCACACATGCACAAAACCTTGTGATGTGTGAGTATTACTTAAATTCTGTCCTTTAATCTCCCAGTGCCTGGTTCCAGAAGTTCTTAGGGAACTCTTCATACTTGAAGAGGAAATTCACAAGCACAGCCCATGGTTGCAATTAATTCTGAGTTTATTGGTAATATTTTAGCTTCACTTGGTCATTTTAGAATTGTGACATTTAAGACCAGAAGCAGACTATTATACAAAGTTACACCAAGATGCCAGGATACATTTCCAGGTGTGTCTGACTCATATCAGGGTTTTTGTTATTGTTGTTGTTGTTGTTCTGCCTTTTTTTTCTTACTTGGACCCTAGACATAGAGTTACCATTTCCTAATAGTTCTTAATTTAGAAGTTAGAAACTTTTCAGACAAACAGAATTCCTTCACCAACTGTGGATCATTTCAAAGTTGAGCTTATGGAAAAAGAAAGACACAATGAATTCTTCCCTTGTACATGAAAAAAGAAGTGCCAAGCCAAACAGGTTGGCCTTGGCAAAGGCATCCTGAGCCAATTTCCCCAGTGCTTTGGCTTCATGTTAGGAAGCATGTCAGGCGGTGAGGAGGGGGTGGGGGGGCATTCCAGCATTCTTTGTAGCTGGGGAGTGTGAATGTATGTTTCCTGTCAACTTGAGAGTCCATGCTTGCTATGTAGATGAATAACATCTTAGAGTTGTAACATTGTTTGTTTGAAGTCAACTGGAATGCCTTATGAGCTGGATGGAAAACAAGGATATGTGATTGAGAAGACCTCAAAAAATCACAGATCTGCTTTTAGGTTGTGAAAAGTTGTATGAGCAATGGGTAAAAAGATCCTAAAAAGGTTTTGGCAGGCATCCATTTAATCAGTTACCTGGAGAAGAAGGGTAACCCTGATGACAAGGAGGTTTGACACAAGTCTCATAAGCAAAGAACAAAGGAACTGAAAATACTTAGCCTGTAGAGACAAAGACACAGGTCTTCTTAAGACTTGTAAGCGATTGTCAAGGTTTGAGGCAGCTATAAACAATGATGTTGTCATTAAATGAAGTGCATTCCATCCTGCTCTGAGGAGAACTGTCTGGACCATTACTTCTGTTCCTGTGGAGAAAAAGAGTGAAACAGTCCAATTAAGTGATAGGGACATTGCAGAGGGGATTCCTGTACTGGTGGTAAGTCAATTGATGGTTCCTGAATTCTAAGCATCCATAATTCTATGAATAGGGATGAGGCAGCTTCTATAAATCAGGTATAGATGACAACATCAATAATAAATAGACCTTTTTATTGAGAACCTACTAAGTTTCAAGCATTTTGCTAAATGGTTGATGTATATTGTCATACCTTGGTCAGGATAAGACCTGCCTGAGTTCTAGTCCTGAAAATGTAGCTGTAAGTGGATAATTTCTGCTTTCTGAATTTTATGTGCTTCCTGTCTATGAAATTTGCACTGAAGGATTCAAAGAGCATTAAAAAAAATGATACATCAAAGTACCTAGTACTGTGACTGACTTTTATTTGGTACTCAAACATGTTGCTGCCTTCCCCCTCTGTGTTTAAGCTGAATTTTAGAAGTCCAGTCTCAGAGGCAAGATAAATAAAAGTAAGGTAAAGAGGGCAAGCATCAGAGAAGGAAAGGTGATCAGAAGCATTTAAAGAACAATGAGAGTCTGGAATTTAAAGTCTAGAGCAATGATTCTCAAAATGGAGTTTGACATGCTAAAGAATTTTTTATATTAATTTTTTTATGTTATTGTAAAGATTCTGTACAGAATGGTTACAGTTACATTAGTAAGGTAATGAGTACATTTCTTGTTACCCATGAGTGTTAAATCAAGTTTAGAAAGGATGGAGGAATCAATGGGAAATTAAAGACTAAAGGAAGTCTGATTGAAGTCTTATAGAAGCTTCCCATTATTGTTCTCAAAAGAAGCTTCTATATTCACGTTTATACTCAGAGTCCCATAACCTGTAGGCCAGGACAGAGCTTCCCAATAGGTTGCTATGATAGAGCACAGGCCTTTGGAGATGTTGATCATCGAAGCCCTGGGGGGAAACAAGGCCAAGGAACCTCATACATATAACCTAGTATACTCATTCAAAAGGATAAGGATAGTTAGAGAAGGAATGATTGGATCATCATAGCATTATTGATCAGGCTGGAGAAATGAAGCAACACCAAAGTATCTTAATTAGAAAGAAGTTATTATTTGAGATGGGCACCAGTGGCTCACACCTGTAATCCTCACTACTTAGGAGGCTGAGAACTGAGGATCACTGTTTGAAGCCAGCCTAGGCAGCAAAGTCCATAAGACTCTTATCTCCAATTAAGCATCCAAAAAGCTGGAAATGGAGCTATGTCTCAAATGGTAGAGCATTTGCCTTGAACAAAAAAAGCTCAGGGTCAGTGCCCTAGCCCTGAGTTCAAGCCCTAAGACTCTGTCTCTCTGTCTCTGTCTTTCTCCCTGTCTCTTTCTCTGTCTCTGTTACTGCCTCTGTCTCTCTATCTGTCTCTGTCTGTCTATCTGTCTGTCTATCTGTCTATCTGTCTATCTGTCTGTCTGTCTGTCTGTCTGTCTCTCTCTCTCTCTCTCTCACACACACACACACACACACACACACACATACCACATGCACAGAGTTATTGGAAGTTGAGAGTAATAGAAACACCTACGACAAAGAAGGCTACTTGGGTATCAGACACTCACCAATGCCTCCAGTGTGAGCAAATAAATCTAAGATTGGTGAAGACAAATGAGCTCTCTGCTGAGAGACTAGAAATTTCTTTGTGGTTCTAGAGGGGTCTTATTCTACCAGAGTGTGATTAGAAGCCATAAAAGGACCCTTAGCTCTAATCATCTGCACTTCTAAGAATAAGCAAAAAGACTGTCCATTCCCTGTGTTCAGACCCTCTGCTGAATTGTGAATCAATACTATATTCCATAAAATTTATACAGCTCTATGTGTCCAAACATCAGTTTACATGTCCGTCCTGACCTGCTAAGCACAAGTTTGGCTGTGGCTTAAATCATTTGTTCTCACAATGTGTTTTCTTTTGCAGCAACAGCGGCAGCTTGACCTCCTGACAATAACCAGCCCTGGTGAGTAGGTGCCGGCTGTTCTGCCTTGGCTTTTCCCTGTTTCCTGCCATGATGCTTTGTTGCCTATCCAAATGCATTTCCTGCCCTTTTTCCTTGATTCCCTGAAAGAATAGCAGAAATGTGATGCTAAGGATGACCTTCTTCCTCCCACCCTGTGCCTCAGGGGCACTTCCTTTTCTCTCTCCCAGCTCTGAGATGCCTCGTCTTTATGATGTACACAGCTGGGCTGATACTGTGGATGTTGCATGTCTCTCTCAAATCACTCAGTACATTCAATTGTCAAGGAAATGTCCTGGTTTTCTGAGTGACAAGTTTTAAAGTTATAGGGCATGGAGAAGCTGACTTAAAGGTGTCATGGAATAAAAAATGGTTCAGAGGAAGAGGCAGGGTGAAGGAAATGATCAGGTTTGGTTGGTGATGCTGAGTGTCAAGATGATTTTAGTCTCTCACATTTAGAAGAAAGTTAAGAGTCCCCCACCAAAGATGTGGCCATGGGATTAAAAGGTTATTTCTTTCCCTTAGGCTTGGCATCTAATCTAGAGAGAGGTTGAACAGTTTAATTTTGCCAGAGAGGTATTTTATTTTGGTTTGGTCAATTGGAACAAAATTGGAGAAGTCCAGTTCTCTCACAGGACCAAGGTGGTGGTGGTGTTTGGAGGATTGTTGGGCATTTAACAGTCGATGTGGTGGTTCATTCTCACCCATGGGTGATACTTAAAATATTTAAGAGCCCTGATGACTACCTGTTATACTATGTATTAACAGTGAAAAGTAAGGAGACAGGATCCTAAAGGAGGAGGAAGAGCTAGGGGAAGGCTCATTATCAATAAATATGGATATATTTCAATATCTTAGTAATCCATATGGCTGAACACTATATCATCCTCCCAAGCCTGGGATAATGTGGGGGGGGGCAATTGTCTCTCAGAGAAACAGTGAAATTGTGCTTTGCAGGTAATATTCTAGCACAAAGGCTGATCACCTGGTCTAAGTAAGTAGAGGAAGAGACAGTGACTGAAATGTAAGTTGGGATTACCCAGCTCAGATGGCCTTACTGATGGCCTTCCTATATTTCTGTGTGATAGTCTTCAGACTTCAGATTTCAGAAGAATAAATATGAAACTCATTTGAACAATGTTGAATCCATCTATGGAATTAATTTTATTCAATGCATATATGATTAATGTCTAGAGGAATTTCCTATTTTGGGCTGACATAACTAGAATGGTTTACTCATGTGGCTGGTCCAATTCTTCCTCATCAGGTTGCTGGTGAGGGATTATCCTTGTCCTGTTCTCTGTAATTGCAGCCTTTTCTATTACAAATGCTCTGCTCAGGTTTCCTCTGCTCGCACTCTGATGTAATGTCTAAGATGACTTGGAGAGGGTTCTTGATCTGTTGTCAGTTGCTTTAGAAGGACATTTTTAGACTGTTAAACAGTATTCCTTTTATGGTAGCCTTTTCTACTTCTAATTTCAAGTGCACAATTTCAAGCAGAGTAGTTGTAAGTCCCAGTACACTCCTTTTAGATAGCTGTGGGATTGCAAAATTCTCAGCACTGCTGGAGCTAGAGTGGTTTATAATTATCCCTCCTATTAGACTAGAAAAGAATATCTTCCGGGTCAGCACTCCTCAGAAGGTATGTGTGGCGCACTGGTGTTCAGCAACTGGACTACACTTCAGTGTTATTGCGAGATATTGATCCATTAAGCTCTCAAGGTCACAGGTAGACCTGGGCAGCTGGAGTCCAACTCTTCCCCCACGATGGTTGCCTCTACACTTTGTCAGAGTGCCAGACAAATATTATCCATGGGTTCCCTGGTTTGGAAAGGCTAAGAAGCACCATTACAATGGGGATTATCTCGATGTCTCCATTTCATGTCCAAAGCACTTTCATTAACTGTCCCTCACTATCAGACTCATTCCAGTTCTCCCACCATACCAGGAGCTGTGGTAGCCCACAGCAGACTTGCTACCTGGCTGGGGCTGCCAGTGGGAAGCTCTGGCTTCTCTGTTCTCAATAGAACATCCCTAACATACTACTGCAGGCTGATGCTGCCATTCCACATAGACTAGGAACATTCTGAAATGTTGATTGAGAATTTGCAAGCATTAACAATCTGTATGGTATCTTCCTTAGAAATATTACTTTGTAGCCAGGCACCAGTGGCTCACGCCTGTAATCCTAGCTGCTCAGGAGGCTGAGATCTGAGGATCCTGGTTCAAAGCCAGCCTGGGGAAGGAAAGTCTGTGAGATTCTTATCTACAATAAACCATTCAGAAAACCAGAAGTGGCACTGTGGCTCTTGTGGTAGAGTGCTAGCCTTGAGCTGAAGAGCTGAGGGACAACAGCCCAGGCCCAGAGTTCAAGCCCCATGGCTGACAGAAAAAGAAAAGAAAAGAAATCTTACTTTGTTTATTGAGAATAATTCTGAATGTATAAGAAAGAGTAGATATATAATGACAGTCATTTACCATGCCTTTCCAATACCTTGGCCTTATCATATCAGCATTGTGCCATCTATACCAGAATCTCCCATTCAATCACTTATAGATATCACTGAAACTTTTCGATGTTCCTTCCTAAGTGAATCTGTCTCCCACTACCCTAGAGGTAACTATTATCATGTAATCAATATTTCCTCATATTTGTGTGTTCGAAAATGTGACTGTTAGCATTGTATTAATCCCTATGAATAGTTTCATATAGCAAAATAGTCAACATTTTTCCATACTCAATATATTGAAGATATTAATCCATGTTGATACAAACAGCTCTGGTATATTCCTTTAATTGCTGTGGAATATTCCATATAACATTGTATTATTATTTATCTCTATTTTATTACTCACAATTTATATTATAGGCTTTTCGCAGTTACAGAGAGTGCTATTAAGAGCATTTTTATATGTCTCCTTGTGCATAAGTATGATAACTTCTCTAGGAGACAGAGAGAAGGAGAGATTACTGATTATATGCATATTCAAATTTACTACATAATGGCCAGTTGTTCTCTAAAGTAAATTTCCCGTTCCCTGCATCCAACACTTAGAAATATCACACCTATGAATTTCAGCAGTCACTGTGATAAATGGGAAATGGTATCCCATTGTCATTATAATATGTTTCCTTGATTACAAGTGGGGTTGAATATCTTTTCCTATATTAACTGGCTGTTTTGGTCTCTTCAGTGAATTAACTTCCCATATCATTTGTGCATATTCTATTGAATAGTTCCTTTTTTAAAAAATTGTAATTTACTTTTCTAAATATATCCCTTATATTCTCTGCAAATCACTTCGCCTAGAGTATGGCTTGTACTTTGTAATTTTGTTTGTGATGTGTTTGGAAAAATGAAAAGTATGTCTATAATTTTAATATTGAGTTTTTAAATTTCTTGCTTTATGAGCTTTGCTTTTGTTACTTGAGAAATTTTTCTCAACCAGTATATGATTCTCCTATATTTAATTCTAAAATCTTATGTAAGTATTGTGTCATACTGTGCATCATTCAGGACTGATCTTAGTGTATGATAGGAAATAGGGATTTAATTGTGTTTTATATTTATGAATGGATAACCCAATGTCTAAGCACCATGAAATAATTAATTCATCTTTTTACCCACGTGTCAGCAATTACATGCTTGTCACATGCTTTTACCTGTACACAATCTGTTTCTGGCCCTATGCTGTTCCATTGGTTTACTAGTCTTACTATTCATCAGCTTCCACTGTCTTTTTTTTTTTTGTCTGTTGTGGGGCTTGAACTCTGGGCCTGAGGACTGTCCCTCAGTCCCTCAGCGCTTCAGCTCAAGGCTAGCACTCTACCACTTGAGCTACAGCGCCACTTCTGGTTTTCTGGTGGTTTATTGGAGATGAGTTTCACGGATAAGAGTTTTCTGCCTGGGCTGGCTTTGAACATCGATCCTCAGATCTCAGCCTCCTGGGTAGCTAGGATTATAGGCGTGAGCCACCAGCACCCGGCTTCACACTGTCTTCTCTATGATAAATCACACTTTTAATAGTATTTATAATTAATATAAAATATGCTTCCCCTTTCCCCTTATATGCTGTTCCTTTGAAGACACAGTTATATATTTTTAAATTATAATTTTATTTTTTATTTTATTTTTGTGGCCAGTCCTGGGGCTTGAACTCAGGATCTGGGTGCTCTCCCTGACCTTTTTTTTTTTTTTTAATTTTATTTTATTTGTGAACATGCCGTACAGAAGAGTTACAATTACATGGGCAGGATAATGCGTACATTTCTTACCAAGCATTGCAGCCTCCTCCTTTGTTTACCCTTCACATCCCTTCCCAGCCTCCCCCCTCCCCCCCAATCCCAATCCTTCCTCCCCCCCCTCCCCCCCCCCCCGCACCAACGTTGTAAAGCTCGTTTTGGACATGACAACTTGTACTTCTCATTGTTGCAACAGGTCCACCTGTATCCTTAAACAACTAGTTTTTCCCCATCTCCTCCACAAGTTATACTGACATCAAATATAGTGAAAGCAGGGGTTATACTGTGGGGGAGGGACATACAAAGCAACAAAGAGATAATCTTATAAATGCGTTAGAAACACATGCATGAAAGAAAAAAACATTAAAATACACATCTAACGGTTCATTTTCCTGACATCACATTATCTGACCTTTTCCGCTTGACTCATACATATACTAGATATTACAAATAAGGGAAACCATGGGACCTATGTTTCTTTGGGCCTGGCTTACTTCACTTAATATAATTTTTTCCAAGTTTTTCCATTTCCTAACAAATGGGGCAATGTCATTCTTTCTGATGGAGGCATAGAATTCCATTGTGTATATATACCACATTTTCTTGATCCATTCATCTACTGAGGGGCATCTGGGTTGGTTCCATATGTTAGCTATGGTAAATAATGCTGCAATAAACATAGTTGTGCTGGTAGCTTTAGTGTGGTCTTGTTTGTAAACATTTGGGTAAATGCCCAAAAGTGGGATTGCTGGGTCATAAG